TTAGGAAATACAAAATCAAAGTCACAAAATTATTATTGCAAAAAATGAAAATATGAAATATAAGTAGATACGGATACGGGACGGTTTTGATTTGATTTGTATTAATCCGTCCTCATGTGAAACTAATTATAAGTTTGAACAAAACAACTTAAGATACAATAATAAAACAAAAATCATATAAATTTATAGGGATTAATGTCATATTGCATTTTTTTATTATTTTTGAATGATATATTCATATATATAACATATAATAAATATATAAAATTATATATTTCATGCGTGTCCCCCGCGTGTCGTGTCCTACATTTTTTGAAAATTATCGTGTCGGCGTGTCCGTGTCGTATCCGTGTCGTGTCACGTGTCCGTGTCCATGCTTCTTAGGTGGTGATAGTGATAAAATTTTAGCTTTAAAAATATTTTCTGCCTAAATAAACTTATTTTCCATTGACCATGGAAAAAATTGTCTGTTGACTTTCGTTTTCCATCATAACAAACATTTTCCACGCCCAAACATACAGAGCGTATGTAGAAAGTCTTGCACAAATTGGCGTAATGAGATATAAATCTCACCATTTTTAGTGAGAAATGAAATAGGCAAAAAATAAGAGAGTTACACTATGTTTGGGAATCTACGAGAGAAAAGAAAAGAAAAGAAATGATTATTTAAGTTATAAAAAAAAATAATTGTGATTTCTCTCATTCTTCTCTGGATAAGTAAGAAATAAAAGAAAATAAAAGAAATAATTATGATTTCCCTCTTTCTTGTTTGGTTAGATTTCATAAAAGAAAAGAAAAAAAAAATATTTTTTATATTATATTACTAAATAAACCTTTTTATGGGTGTCAATCATTTTATTTCTTTTATTTTTACAGGGACAATTAATATTATGAAAATATAAGAATCTAGCGATTTCTTTTCTCTCCTGATCTCTCTACTTTTGGAAAGATTGAAAATAAAAGTCATAAGAGAAATGGATTTCATTTCTCCCCATTTCTTTCCACTTAATTTATCCAAACAAGTAAGTAAGAGAAATATGTATCTCTCCATTTTTTTTTTCTCTCCAAACCACTCAATCCAAACAGAACTCACCATTGCCTACCATTTTCCATTATTTCTCACCTAATTTACAAACTAAATAAGAAAGAATTCTTACCAAATCACCCCATCCAAACAGAATGTAAATTCCAAAAACATTTTAACAATCTAACAGCATTAATAATAAGATAACAACAAACTCCATATATATACATATCTTTACATATATTGATACAAATATACATATATGCAGAGGGAAATTACCTTCCAAGGACCTTGGCTAGGGTTTGGATGTAGCAATCGATCATCTGCTGTTTGGTTGCGCCTTCACCACCAGGCTTGTCCATGACGATAAGCCAGTGCTCGTAATCGCATCCAGGGAACAGCGGAGCCATCTCCGTCGGCGGTCGGTCGCTGAAGTTCGAACCGGAGTTGAGCGGCGAATAGCTCGACCCTCCAGACCGGTTCACCCTGCACCTGACCAGGTTCAGCCGAGCCGCGCCGGGAACAACCATCCGGAGTGAGTGAGAGAGAACGGAGGTGGACCGTGCGGGCCGAACGAAGCCCGGGAGAGGTGGAGCTCTGGCTATGGAAGATGTGGATGAGAGAAGGCGTTTGGAGACGAAGAGAGATGAGAATCGGACGGCCATGATTGAACGGCACACTGTTGTCGCCATGGCCGAAGTGATGGAGCAGGAAGAGGGAGGAAATAGAGAGTTGTAAGCTGATGAAGACGGATAGTATTGAGGAAATTGTTTTCAATATATGTTCGCTAGGGTTCAAGGCACTCTGTGGGATAAATTATTGTAAAATTATTTATTTAGTTTTTTTGTTTGTTATATAAATTAAAATTTATTTAGGATTATTTAAAATAATTTAAATAATTATATTTTTTGCCTTTTATAAAATGATATAAAAAAATTTTAAAAAATTTTGAAAAAAATATATGATGTAATGAAAAAATATATATATATATATATAAAAAGATAGATTATTTAGGAAATACCAAATCAAAGTCACTAAATTATTATTGCAAAAAATGAAAATATGAAACTAAGAAGCACGGACACTTCTAAAAAGGTAACGTATCCGTGTCGTGTCCGTGTCGGACACCGACACTCTTTGGACACTTTCCCGACACGTGTCCGACACTCTTTATAACGTGTCCTATCTTTTAAAGACCCGGACACTCTATGGACACTTGGAGGACACACGTGTCTATCTCTTAAACACACATGTCTATCAATTAGACACATGTGAAACTAATTATAAGTTTGAACAAAACAACTTAAGATACAATAATAAAACAAAAATCATATAAATTTATAGGGATTAATGTCATATTGCATTTTTTTATTATTTTTGAATGATATATTCATATATATAACATATAATAAATATATAAAATTATATATTTTATGCGTGTCCCCCGCGTGTCGTGTCCTACATTTTTTGAAAATTATCGTGTCGGCGTGTCCGTGTCGTATCCGTGTCGTGTCATGTGTCCGTGTCCATGCTTCTTAGGCAGCAGGAGTGGCCAAAAAGTATGGCACTCTCACTCTGGCACCCCTACAAGTGAGTTAATGGGGAGGTTCCTTTCTCCTCAGCCTTTTTTATCATGTCCAGCCTGTCATATTCGGTTCTTTGTTTGGCATTATAACCTAAACAAAATAGAGACACCAATACATTTTGTAATGTGCATACCTTCAAAACACAAAATTGAGCAACATTGTTACGAAGACCAAAACTCTGGAACTCCATATTCTCTTGATGCAAAATGGTAAATCTGTATTCAAGATATGACTAAAAATCAGAAATTAAATGATGTAACCGAAAGCAAGTGAAGAAACAAAACTCAAACTAAATTGAAAGAAGGTAATCAAAAGATAATGAACTGAAATACGCTTTAACAGGGGCATGTTCATCAACAGGTGTAGAGGAAGTTTTCTAAAAAGTCCAGGTCTTATTAATGGACCATAAGAGGTATGTTGAGAAAAATAATAAAGAACACCTGCTTCAAAACGCAGTGTTTATGTGGGACAAGCTCAAAGCATTTCTATTTTAAAAATCTACAGCAACAGTGTAGTAGCATGCAATATTCAAAGAGAATGAGAAACCTTACAGCTCACTTTTCCAGAATATAGCACACCCATCACATGCTTCACCCGTTCGAGCCTTCATAAAAATGAAAACCAGTGAATCTGGTTTGATCAAAACCTTAATTTATGACACATGACTGAGCTACGGTATGCATAATTTACCGACAAACCTGGTAAATCCCTTTGAAGCCATCTTTTTGGAGAAGATTATCTAAATCATTGAAACGGTCAACCTCCTACAGTCATAAGAGTACAGATGAGAATGCAACTGCACCCATAAACATGTGTGCAACAGATGCCTCTTCATACACTCCAAAGTTAATCGAGAAGAGTACTTTACATTACAATTGTATATATATCTATTGGCTTTTTGGCTTTCGAAGGTTATTTTTGTAATTGCGAGCGTGCCAGCAAGGATTGAAAAATCCTTACAGATTAAATTCAAGCCAATTACCAAGCAATTACTTTGATGGTTCTTTTGCCTCAACAAAGAGGACTTCAAACTTGCCAAGTGTAGAGAAAAGAAAAAATTAAAAGAAGAATGAGGGAGACGAAGAAAAACGATTGAGTGAACAATCAAAGTAATAATTACTTACCTCTACTCCTATGCTTTGAAAAGAAAGTGCATAAAAAGCTTCGAAATGGAAATGCTGAAAATAAATGCTTCGAAATATAAATCTATGTTAAACTACTCCTAAGATAAGGAAAATGACAAGAAATATTGAAATCAATTGTCTTTGATTATGAATTCTGGATCCTTTACAATGTAGCCATTAATGGTTATTTATAGAGGAAAAAATACAGTAATAACTACTTAGCAACTACCCATTTCTTCCATCTTCATTCTTGTTTTGCCATGTGTCCTTCCACTCATCCACTTTGTTCTTCATATTCTCCATCATCTCTATAACTTCTTTTAACTTTCAAATGAATAAGAGAATGCCACGTGTCTTGATAATAATAATAATAATAATAATAATAATAATAATATTTTATGGTGCCAACATTACCCCCCGCGGCCCTTAAAAATGATATTTATTTGAATTTTTGAAGAGCCGAACTAAGCACATGACTAATCTAAGCAATAAAATGCTTCGAATAATATCAACAAAGTGTTTCGAATGATATAATAGCACCAATAAAGTGCTTCGAATGATATAATAGCACCAATAAAATACTTCGAATGATATAATAGCACTAATAAAGTGCTTCGAATAAGTATGAAATTATGACTAGATGATCAATAACAAGCTTCGAAGGTGGTATAACAGACCAAATTCATCATTTGAAGATCTTGTGGCACAGTTTTGAAGGAACAACATCACCCCTCGAAGGTTGGAAGCATTGATATAGGATGATGATACTTACAATGAAGTTTCAAGGTTAGGCTTGACGCTTCAAATGTATCTTCGAAGCTTTATACAGTTTCGAAAGTGAAGTAATCAACCTTCGAAACAACTCTAGATGCTTCGAATGTATCTTCAAAGCTTTATACAGCTCCGAAAGTGAAGTAATCAACCTTCGAAACAACTCTTGATGCTTTGAATGTATCTTCGATGCTTTGATTGTGTACATACAAATAACTGGCCATTAATTTGAAAAGATAAGCCATTCCCAACCACTTATTTAAATGCATAGGTTTTTCTTAGCCAAGTTCATGCATTTTAAATGGTCATCCCTTGTTCTTAGTGCTTCGAACTTATAAGAACAATTTGTTAATTTTATTAGCCACATCATCAGAATTATATTTTGGTGTGATCCACAAATCCAAAATGGATTTCGAACAACAAAAGCCATGGTATAGTGTGACCATGAAAATTCAAAGTGGGTTGTTTTTTCATGTTAGCCATTAACGGCTTATGAAAATCACCCATAGATATATGACTTGATTCTCTAAAAATTAGTTTTGAGACCCCCCGAGCCATGCATGGAACATCATTCTTAGCCAAATTTGGCTCAAGAACATGCTCTTTCGTTATGTGAATTTCATAATTTGGCTCTTTAAAAACGGACTCTTGAACCCCCCGAGCCATTGATGAAATCAACTCTTTACTTTTACTATTTTTAACCATGGAAAAATTTTAAAAAAATTCACCAATTCCGGCCATTAAGGCCTTAGTTAAAGACTTGGTAGTGAGAGTTGATAACTCATCATTCCATTGGCGAATTGCCATATCAAGTTGATGAATTTCTCCAATTAAATGTTGTCCTTTTTCTTCCACCAAATAATATTGTAAGGGATGGAAATTTATTTCATTAAGAAAATGGATCTCTTCTTGAAGATCCAAAATTTCTTGTTTACGCCAATAAATTTCATCTAGGCTATTTGAAATGGACAAATCCAATTCATTTTTCATTTATTATACTTGACGTCCCACTGGGCGTTCCAAAAATATATGTTGGCTTTTTGGCTTTCGAAGGTTATTTTTGTAATTGCGAGCGTGCTAACAAGGATTGAAAAATCCTTACAGATTAAATTCAAGCCAATTATCAAGCGATTGCTTTGATGGTTCTTTTGCCTCAACAAAGAGGACTTCAAAATTGCCAAGTGTAGAGAAAGGAAAAAATTAAAAGAAGAATGAGGGAGACGGAGAAAAACGATTGAGTGAACAATCAAAGTAATAATTACTTACCTCTACTCCTATGCTTCGAAAAGGAAGTGCATAAAATGCTTCGAAATGGAAATGCTGAAAATAAATGTTTCGAAATATAAATCTATGTTAAACTACTTCTAAGACAAAGAAAATGACAAGAAATATTGAAATCAATTGTCTTTGATTATGAATTCTGGATCCTTTATAATGTAGCCATTAATGGCTATTTATAGAGGAAAAAATACAATAATAACTACTTAGTAACTACCGATTTCTTCCATCTTCATTCTTATCTTGCCATGTGTCCTTCCACTCATCCACTTTGTCCTTCATATTCTCCATCATCTCTATAACTTCTTTTAACTTCCAAATGAATAAGAGGATGCCACGTGTCTTGAAAATAATAATAATAATATTTTATGATGCCAACAATATCATAATATATTTGCAGCACACATGTATTAAAACAGCTACTTATTCAGTGGCAAGACCGTAATTTTTGCCATAACTATGAATTCATTAAAGATCAATTGAAAAAATGGAATTCCAAGGACATAAATGTCAAATGTAATTCAAACTCATGCCTACAAGTCTAATAGGTCCATATCAAGAACCAAAACACCAAAAGTACTATATCAAACCTAATACAACAATCATGCTAGTTTTAATTCTTTAAACATTCAGTTATTATTTTTCTTAAGAAAATGAATGAGGAAAAAAAAAAAAAAAATTGTTTAAAAGAGAAAATTTACTCATGACTGAATAAGAAGCCTACATTTTTTAATGCCAAATGAATATCGCATTTAAAAAATCTCCAAACAAAAGCGTACATGAAATGGTTAAAAGGACACTTAAACTTGCCTGAAAACACAAAATGCTTGCGTTGTACTGACTGATCTCCTTACATAAAAGCATTTTCCGGCGGTCCCAATCCAAAAATTTGGGTGGAACATTAGAGTACAAGTCTGGATGCTTTGATGCATTTTCAACACCTAGTATATTGTACGATACAAATATAACCTTATCTGCATAATGTAGAAAAAGTTTAGGGAGAGCAAGATGGCAATGAATTTTGGTATCCAGCCCTAAAATCAAGCTAAACAAACAAAAAACTAGACATTCCTAGGAGAATATATCAACTTCATTTTAGGGAAACAGAAGTAAAGACCATGCATTATAAATCTGGATGAACATTTTGATTGCTATGCGAAAGCAAATATCCAGAGGGGTGGGAAATGCTACAATAAGGAGAGAATTTTGAATATTCTCCTATCTTAAAGCATGTTGTTCGGATCAAACTTTTTCCAAGTGATTGTTCAAGAAAGGACATTGAATTTGAAAGCAAAAGCACATAACTACATAGCCATTGAGTTTGTTTGTTTGTTTGTTTGTTATTTTTCTTTTTACACTTAATAGAATGTTAATGGGTTACTAAGTTAGATTAAAACAGCTAGGCATTCAATGCTTCTCTATAAGCTTGGACCTTAAACTTCTCTCTATTACAACCACTTTAGTTACGCTTAAAGATTGAATGGAAAAGGTATGGCTAGAATCGAGAGCACAGATTTGCATCATATAGGAACATGAATTATTTCAAAAAAAAATTCGCTTCTTCGAATGATAAGGATAAATTCAAATTCCTATATTACCATTCTCTTCAAACACAAAACACTAAAAAAATCAATAAACACCCTTCTATATCTCAGGTTGGAAAAAAAAAATTCAATTCCAACTCTTACAAGCATTATAATTACAGTGACACATGCCCTTTACTAAGATCACGAACAAACCTAGTATATTAGAGCATCTCCAATCTTTCACCAAATATTTTATCAAATTTAAATTTGATAAATTTTTTGGTGAAAATCATATTTTCAAACACGTATCAAATCAAGTTTTCACCAAATTTGATGAAAGAAGCTTTTGCGAACAAAGGTTGAAATTTTTAAAAACGATTTAATGAAGCTTCAAGTGACGATTGGAGCATTCAATTTATTTTCACCAAATTAAACTTTAGTTAAATTTGATAATAACATATCAAAATCAAGCTTTTAACCAAAATTTCATCGAAATTTTAATGAGGGGCAAAAAAAACAAAACAGAGATTAGATTTGTGTACCTTTATGATTGGAAAAATCACGATCAGAGAACATCCACTTGCGATATCGATCCACACTAGATGACTTCGTACTGTGGTGGTGCTTCTTATGCTTGTATGTGGTGGGATGAGTATGAACTGCGTCGAGTGTCGTTAGGGTTAGGGTTTCAGTTTCTGAGTTTAATCTTCGCTTCTTTGAGGTGTGGCGATGGCATTGTTGTAGTCCCTGAGAATGTCTGCGTTTGCTTACCGACTGCCCCGCCGCCGCCGGAACCCGCCCTTCGCCGCCTCTCATGCTGCCCGTATGTCTCGAGCTTCGGCGGCGCGTGTGGGGAAGTTATGTTCGTTTAAATAGTAACATGGACCTATTGGTCCGTTATATACATATATATGGCATCTTGGAAGAGTAAGGGTTGTTTGGGATGACCTAAATATGTGTATTTTTTGTCTTTTTATAAAAAGATATGTAAAAAAGTAGAGAGATAATGTAATGGAAAAAAAGATAAAAAGATAAAAAGTGTGAACTTATTTTGAGTTGCCAAACTTAGCTTAAGTTGACTTTTGATTTTATTTATTTTTTATTATTAGTTTGTCTGGAATTAAAAAGTTTTGGATTGAATTTATTTTTATTTTTATTTTTTTTTGAGAGAAAAAAATTAAATAATTTAGTTTGAATTTGATATTTTATCTTATTAATTTTTTAACTTAAATGAAGACATATTCGGATAAATTGTACTACAACTCCTTGAAATTTGAACATTTTGTGATTAAATAAATAAATCACGAAGAAATTATGAATTTTTAATTTTATCAATTTTTAATTTTGTCAATTTAAATAATTTTTTGATTTATTGATAATTCAAATTATTTGTCTAATTTCGTTAAGTAAAATTAATAAAAATTGAAAAATAATTTGTAATGAAAATAAATTAAAATATTATGATTTAAATTTATAAAATTAAAAGGTCATAGTTTTTTTGTTAGAAGGATCAAACCGAAATTTTTTTTATTTGTAATTTCTCATAAATCTCCTATTATATACTCCCTATGATTAAAGAGAGTGTTGATTCTATGATTTGCTTTTGTTATTTTTGTTTTGATATTAAAAAATTGTATTTATAACTAATTTTATCAATGTATATATCAATTTGGGTAGTAAGAAGGCTCAATTGAATGAAAATTTAGTTTCAATTGAAATTTTCTTTTGCAAAATTTAAGAGTTTTGACGTAATTTACTCTATATAATTTTGGAAAATTATATTAAAAAATTTAAAGTGAAGCACTAATAAATTTTAGGATAAATTATAAATATACTCTTTGAGATTTGATTAAAATACGAATCGTCCTCAGCAATTTTGAAAATTATATTCCATCCTTGAGATTTTTAATTTCATAACAAATCTCTTCTTTTATTAATAAATCATCAAGTCAATTAAAAGTTTTTAATGATATTAAAAATATGTTTCAATTAATAAGTTAAGTAATTTTATTATTGTATAGAAAAGCAATTATAAATTTTATTTTTTTAGTTAATTCTGTTAAATAAAAAATTCTAATAAGAGGATATTTATAATTTTTCAAACCACAAGAGGCAATTGTATTTTAAGCAAATCTCAGGGGGTGTATTTGTAATTTACCCTAAATTTTAAAATGTGATCTTGTGAACTGTTTAGTCCTCTTTTTTTTCTTATGAACTCAAAGATCACATTAAAAGAAATTACACAAAAAGGTAGTCGCCTATATATTTAGGTTTAATTTTTTAAGGATAAAAATGAGTTTCTCCAAATGTAAAATTATACATTTGGATAATTCGCATTATAGAGGTTTTGAATTTTCCCTCATTCTAGAATGAATCCTACATTACGAATATAAACGTCACACTCTAATGTAATACTCCACTAACGTAACATTCTAATATAACACACTAAAAAACTCATTGGTGTACTTTCTCCAAACGTAACAACGTAACACTCTAAAAAAACTTTTTAGTGTACTTTTTCCAAACGTAATACTCTAATGTAACACAAAAAAATTTGTTTAGTGTACTTTTTTCAAATGTAACACTCTAATCAATGTAATCCCTAACGTAACACTCCAATATAACATACTCTAATAACACACAAAAACACTAAAAAACTTTTTAGTGTACTTTTTCCAAACGTGATACTTATAGTTTCAAATTATACATTCCTTAAAGTTTATTAAAGAATTTTTGTACTCTTTTTAGAATGGTCTGAAGAATTTCATATCTTTTTGGAATAGTTTGAAGAATACCACATCCTTTTTTTGGAGTGTTACATTAAAGTATCACGTTTAAGAAAAGTACAATTACGAATTTTTTTTTTGTATATTACATTGGAGTGTTACACTAAGGAGATTTTTTGGAGTGTTACGTTTGAGTGTTACGTTGAAGTATTACAATTTGAAATTATATATTTATCCAAAACTTACTAAGGAGTTTTTGTATTCTTTTTGAAATGTTTGAAAATCTCACATCCTTTTGGAATGTTTGAAAAATCTTATATTTCAAATTATTTTTGTACTACTTTTGAAATGTTTTTCAAATAAAAAAGATTCTCATATAAAAATTCATCCCAAATTTGATTAGATTATATACCTTACCTTTTTAGCACAAAAGAAAAAAAGAGAAAAAAACATAATAAAAATAAGAGTATAACCGTAAATCCAATTTTTAAATAATATATTAAATCTACATTTCTGAATTTAATGGGACTAATTGGTCCTTTTTAGGGGAACTTACTGATAAGTTTTATACACAAAATTCAAAATCCATCTAGTTCCAAAACAAAACATCTGCACCAATTAGTATATTTTTAATTGTTACAAAAAAAATCTTATTTAAAAAAAAAAATTAAAGGCGGACTTCCGTTAGACAATCATCGGAGATTGTCGGAATGTTCAACATCACTTGGGAGTCTTTGGAATATCACTGGGAATTTTCCAGAGTATCGCCGAAATGTTCTGAACGTCACCGGAAGTCGTCGGAATGTCTAAAATGTTCCTTGAAAGTTAAGAATATTGTCGGAGATTCACTGAAATGTTTAGAATATTGTCGAAAAAAAAAGAATAAACTAAGAAATTAAAGTGAAAAATATAGCAAAATTTGCTAAATATTAATAAACTAGAAGAAGAAAAAAAATCTAAGAACAACAAACAGTAACAATGAAAAAAAAACACATGTTATTTTCAATTTTTGTGGGGTTTAAGCAAATAATTTTCAATATTGATCAAATTGAAAAGCAAGGTTTGAAACTGTAAAATGCTACAGTTTCAAAGTATGATTCTATTATGTATTTATCCTTATTAATAAAATTGAAAAGCATGTTATGAAACTGAAAAATTTTATAATTCTAAAGAACGATTCATTTAGCACAAAAAAAAAAAAAAATTGAAACTGTAAAGTTTTACAGTTTTCACCGCATGTAATTAAAATTCGAAAGCAACTTGTTTAGAATTTGAAAATTTTCTCCATTATAACTGGAAAACAAAAGTGTGTAGTTGTGACAACCCTCACCATTGATTAGTGCTAATCTATGATTAAGCATGTTAACTGACTGATTGACTAAAATTCTAAACTGATTGATTGAGTGTATTAGTTTAATGCATGCCTATCTGTTTGACTGCTAAATTATCTGTTCGTGTATTATGTTTAAACTGCAAATTGAAGGCTTTATCGGCGGCCGAATCCGAAATTGATTAATGTTTTATGCTAATTAGAATTCATGTGATTTTATGGTATATTTAATTGAAATGTGATTGGGTATGATTGAATTAGATTTAATAATGTTAAATTACAATAGTTAGACTTATTTACCTTAGTGTCATTAAGTGGACTTTGCTAGACCAAGTGTTTAGTCTTGCTTTACATGTGTTGGCCTCACTTTTCATCATCCTTCTTGAGAGACCAAACATGAGAGAGAGCTAGAGAGTTGGAGAAGAGCTTGAGTTCTTCATATTTGCTTGGAGACTTGAAGATTTTGAAGTGAGATTACATAATTGAGCTTCCATTCTTGTAATTGGAGACCTAAGGTAGGACATTTACCTTCTTGTTTGTGAATTCAAGTTAGTTCTTTCATGGTTCATGGTAGATAGGAGCCTAAGATCATAAATTGGTCTTAAATTGTTGAATTGAGGCTTAAATCATGCATGCATGTGCATATCTTGAAGTTTAGAGTTATTTTCATGGAAATTATTGCATGCATGTCCATATTATTGTTATAATCCATGAATTCACCATGTTTTTGGAAAGATTGGCTCATTTGATCTTGTGTTTGAAGCTTTAAGTTCATATAAGCTCATGCATGTACATATTCTTGCATTTTGAAGTTGATTTTCATGAAATCTTGCATGCAAGTTTACATTCTTATTCTAGTCCATGAGTTTATCATGGTTTTGAGTTTAATCTTGCTTTGGATCATGTTTTCAGGCATTAGAATTCACTAGAATTCATGCATGTCATATGTTCTTCATGTTCATGAAAACTTCTTTGAAATGGTGTTTAATTAAACTACCTTTGGGCTTTGATTTCTCAAATTGATCTTTGAAACATGTCATATTATGAGTTTACAAGTGTTTTCCAGAAAATTAGCCCAAAAGGATCAAATTTGATGCTTTAAATGTTGATTTTGAGCTTGGAGGTTCAATCTGGAAATTCCAGAATTTGGACCCACGCTCGAGCGAGGAACTCCATGCTCGAGCGTACACCTTATGTTCATGCAGTCCGCTCGAGCGAGGAAAGTGACGCTCGAGCGTGAAATGTGTGTATCCAGCACTTTGCATGTGTTTATAGTTCGCTCGAGCGAGGACTTGTGTCTCACGCTCGAGCACCCGTCGAGCGTAAATTTCACCCATCCAGTACTTTTGTAGTCCGCTCGAGCGGAGCTCCTTTGTCTGCATGTCCGCTCGAGCGTAGAAAGCCACGCTCGAGCGAGACCCCTGTTTTCTGAAAATTCTGAAAAGTGTTTTAAAGTGCATCTTTGCATCCCCATTCCATCCTAGGTATTCTTAGGCCTAGTTTAAGGCATCTTAATGAGGATATTGATGTAGAACCACACCGAGGCAAATTAGGGATTAAGTTATTATTTCCCAACTGTGTAGCTTAGTGTGTGTTCGTTCTGTAACTGTGTAGGGTTGGCATTCGAGGACGCTCTAGCTGCTTATAGCCCAATGCTCTGTGAGTAACAATGTTGTAAAGATATGTTCAATCATGAATATTTTTTGAATGATCAACTGTACTGCTTTCTGAAATGAAATGATATTTCTTACTGAATGAATACTTGTCCTATTTGCGAACTGTATTCGTGGCGTCCATAGCAACTTACTGTTACTGTACTGTACTGCTACTGTCACAG